CGGGCGCCGCCCCCGGCCGCCCCGGCCCCCGGCCCCGGGGGGGGCGCCGCCGAGCCGGGCTCTGCACCGCGCCCATCCCAGGCCCCCGGCGCTCGGTCCCGCGGGCCCGGCAGCACCCACCGCCCCGTGCGCTGCCGCCCGGCCCGCGGCCACCCTCACCCAGCCCCGTCCCCTCCAGCCCGCCCAGGGAAGCGCTGTCGGTCCCCATCGCACACGTTGAGGTCCCTGGGGCTGAGGGCCTCCGTGGGCACGCCACGGGGCACATCTGAGCCAGATGCGCGTTTCCGTGCGGCGTTTCTGCTCAGGGGATGCAACCCCCCCCGCATCCCCCCCAAAGGCAGGTATGGGTCCGCGTGGCCGCAGCACGCACCGCCCCGCTGGCCTGCGCCCCGAGCTGCTGCACGGGTCGGCCGCTCTGCGGGGTTCAGCTCCTTCCGTCGCCAAAACCAAGCAGGTCAGGTCCGGAAACAGATGCTGAGGGCACCACACGCAAACGTGGTCCTTGCTGCTGCGCAAGGGGCTTTATTGGGCTGGTGCCCTCCCCCCAGGGCTGTCCCCTGGCACGGGCCTCTGCGCTGCTCACAGCAGAGGGTTCCCCCGGGCCAGGCCTACATGAGGAACCTGGAGAGGTCCTCCTTGATTTCAGCCTCATCCCATGGCCCGTGGATGTTGTCCTTGAGCAGCTGAAGGCGGATGAGGCAGTAAGGGCAGAGGCAGGAGATGGCAAGCAGCAGTGAGGCAAAGAGCACGGCGCCCACGCTGGAGACAGTGGCCAGCCCCGCCAGCGCCGCCAGCGCGAAGAGCACCGTCACCCCCACGTAGCACCGGGGCGTCCGGGCTTTCAGTTTCTTCTGCAGCATGGGCCAGAGGGCAAAGATCTGCATGGCGAAGGTGACCATGACAAAGGCGTGGAGGGAGCGAGGCAGGCGGGAGGCCAGACACACGGAGGCAAAGATGGCCATGTTGAGGGACAGCGTGCTGGAGACGATGGCGGCGTTGGCGCCGTAGTCGAAGAAGATGAGGTGGCCGAGGAGCATGAGGGCCGACATGGCGTAGATGGTGTCCGTGCTGATGGACTCCGTCAGCGTCTTCAGCACCGGCGAGAAGCCGTAGGTGAAGGCGGCGAACACCAGCGTGCTCTTCAGGTCGGCCCACCGCGTCCGCCCGCTCTCCCGCCGCCCGGCCCCGCCATCCACGGCGTCGAAGAGGACGTAGCCGAGCAGGGAGGAGACCAGGGCCGCCCCGAAAAGCCCCTGCGGGCTCAGCATCCCGGCGTCCATGTACCACCAGGTGAGGACGAAGACGCAGACGCTGCACAGCTGTTGCACGACCGCTCCCGACTGGAAGACGACGGCCCGGTACCGGTACCGGCGGGCGTGCACGTTCTTCCGCAGCTCCTCCAGGAACC